ATTCCAGTAAACCCTGCATTTTGGATTCTAGGTTCCCTCCATCTACCTCTGAAAACCCTAAATAAACAAACATTGGATTAGATCTCAGCAGCTCCCTTGCTCAGCAAGGGAAGCCTTTAAAAGCATTTTACACCAACTGCCTGGTTTGTGTTTCAGACTCTGTCAACCTGGCACTCAAGGAGCTCCACCTTCCTCTCAGACGTCTCAGGGAACTCACCTCAGTGTTTGGAAGGTCTGCCTCCATTTATGACCCTCCCTGATTCCAGTGAGGAGCTGGAGCTCCTGTTGACCTCAGGAATGCCAGAAGTATATGCTGGGGTTGGAGGGTTTCTGGCATATGACCTGCTAACCTAGAATTTGCTTGGCAAAGTCCAGAGGATGACTTTTAACCTCAGAGCAGTTTGCAAAACCACATCTGTGACCAATAAATGTAAAAAATAAATGAAAAAAAATAAATCTAGCTGCTATTGAAGAAGCAGTTTGCAAAACCACATCTGTGACCAATAAATGTAAAAAATAAATGAAAAAAAAAAAAAATCTAGCTGCTACTGAAGGGTGAAAGACAGCACACCTTGCTAGGCACTGGTGCTGGAATCAGGATGGAGATTGGGAATAATCGGACAGGCCATGTGCCAGATGTTGCCCATGAATGGAGGCAATGCCTCACACAAGGGAGGCAGCACAGCAGGTTAAACTGAAGGTATCTCATAGCTCTAAGTCTTAAACTTAACGAGCCACGTCTTTATTTGTGCTGCAGCCCCTTCTTATCCCAAATTGCCTTTACCAGCTGCCAGAGGATGCCTGGTAACGGAATATTCTCAGGATAACAATAAATTGGTGTAACGATTGAGTGTCACCTCACATCCTGCTAAGCAATAGAGAAATCACGATGAGAAAAATAGGCACGACCAGAGTGGCACTGAACAGTGCAATCCTAATTCCATCACCCTTCTTGCGGGCGACAGATAACCCAGTGCAATTTACAGCCGCTCTGAAGCGGCTCCAAGTCTCAGCAGGAGTCAGGGAAGCTCAGTGTAGCCTCGGGACTGAGGAGTCGCAAAGATCTGGGGAGTTGCTGTTCCATAACCTTGCCTCTGCACCAAAACCAGGGGGCTGGTTTGGAATGGGAAGCACTCCAAGCAAAACACAAAATTTTAATCACTGAAATGAAGGCCCTCCTCTGGCTCTCTCTCTCTCTGGAGAATAGTCTGACTCTGATGATCGTGCACAGACTCCCAAAGAAGGTAAATTTTGGATTTAAATCTCTACGTCAGCATGTGAATGACAGCGTTAAATCTTGGCTGTAAGGCTGAGATATCTCCAAGAGGAGAAAACCACTTTTTCCACTTAAGTGGCTGAGGTAGAGGAGGTAAATACATTGTCTCCCACTATTAAAGGGCGAGGAAATCATTTATACATGTGTATTACACCTTTGCACCTAACAGTGGAGTTCTTTTTTAAATTCAAGAGTCTAAAAGTTTAGAAATACCAACATTAAGGTGGCCTATGCAACTGTAATTTGTCCCTTCCATGCATTTGCATTATGATACCGTATTTAATTCTAATTAGATCACACGCTGTTCTTTCAACAGGTTCCTGGCCTCACTCATTGTACAGAATAGACTGTGCTCACTAAGTAATAATTTTATTTTCTCCTCGCTGTTCACTGTGTGGCCCGTGCTTTATTTACAGCAGACTATTCAAATATTGTTCTGAAGACAGATTTATTCATTTCCTCCTGAGCTTTTCCATGGGACTCATCACTATGGTATCCAAGTGCTTCACAAACTCTAATTCATTTTCTCAACACTGTAGCGAGAACTGGTGTTGCCCTTATTTTACAGACGAGGAACTCGGGTGTACAGACAGAATAGTAAAAAATATCTTTTCATTTCAGAGATCCAATTAGAAATACTCAATGGCCTGATTTTGTCAGAAAATAGAACATGGCCAGGCACCTAATTGAGTCAGAAGTTGTATAAATTCTCAGTTATTGCAGATTTATCTGCAAGGGTTCTTCATTTCTGCAAGTCAGGCTTCAAAATGTCAGCCCAGGCACCTGGGCAGTGCTGACTGCACAATTAGTGCAGCGCTGGGCAGGCTCTGTTTAGGGACTGTGCTTTGCATCCCACAGATTCCAGAGGCTAAAAATCCTTTCTCCTACTGGGAGCAGTAGTCACCTGCCCCACCCACAGCACTGTGCTTGCTTGGCCAGCAGTTCCTCCCAAGGTGCATAAAATACTTACATCAGATTTTTGCAGTAAATGAGGTGGAAGTGGTTGAGGCGCTTGCCTGGGTTCCCTCACCTTGGTTCAGTGTCTGAGCCTGGCATATCCTCCTGCACTGCTTGCCTTTATCCTGGTGTTTGATAACTGGGGAGTGTGTTACTGTGCAGCCTGAGTGCTGGTGCTTTATTGAATATGTACTTCTTTCCCAAGTAGAGATAACCCCAGTAATGTAATCCTGAGTTGACATGGATGCAGGCCATCAGCAATGTGGAAATTTCCCTCTGTGAGGGATGTCATGGTTGGCACAAGCTCCACCACTCCAGGGGGGTGAGGTACATTCTTGGTGTATTTCAGGTACCTGCTGTTTTCCAGGTGGTCTTCATTCCCATTCCCAAATGCTCACCTTTCTGCTCTGCCTCCCTCCCCCTGTTTCTGTCATTCCACTACTACATCACTAGTGAATTCCCTCTTCCCACAGGCCCTGTTGCACCCCACACCCAGCCTTGGGGCCCTTTTCTCTTGCCTCACTCCAGCTCTTCCATCTGATCCCCTTTGCCCAGCAAGCTCTCCCTCAAACCTTGACCAGAGCACAGGGACAGCTCCCAGTCCTGCCAGGCTGCCTGTCCTCCTCCCAGCAACTTCTCCCACTTCCACTCTGGTTTAGTCTTTTCCCAGCAGCCTGCCTTCCAGACTCTTTCTTATGAGCTTTGCTTTATCCCTCCCTCCAGGCAGACCTGTTTTTCCTTCTGGCTCCTCATTCCCTTTCACCACCCTGGAGAACCTGTCTCTCTCCAGAGCCTCTGTGCCTGCCAACTTACCTGTCCCAGACCCAGTTCCTGTCCCCACTGTGTGTTTTTCAGGGAGCTTCCTGCTCTGTGTTTCCCAAGAAGACTGGAAGGACAGGTCTGCCCTTCCTACCTGCAGACATGGCACGGTCCAGAGCGGCCAGGAACTGGAGCTGCAGGTCCAGCTCTGATCCCACAGCCCTGGGCTGTGATGAGGATGGAGCTGTTGGGGACTGGAAGTGCCAGGAAGCCCCTGCCAAGAACCAGCAGGACTTTCAGGAGGGTTTTTATAGTGGGGTTTGAGGGAACATCTCTGGCAAAGTGACCAGTCTCATTTTCAGGCTAGAAAATCCCTAACAGAAGGAACAGAAGGAGAAATGTTTATAATTTAACCCAAGGTATGAACTTCAGATGCCTAAATTTCAGCACAGTGGTTAGTCTGGCCCTATTAAACGTGAATGAGGGCAGGATTTTATGATGGGAATTGCTAACCAGCTTTAATAGGAGTTACACTACCAGTCCTGCCTTTTAATCACCGCTTCCATTTTCAGGATAAATTGCAGCTGGTTGCTGGTAATCCTTGTGGCATATCAGATAGCAGCGTAGCTCGGCAAGGGTAAGCTGGAGAAACCCAAACATCCTTCTGAGGAGGTAATTATTGCATTGTGAAAATGCCCCGGGATATTTTTAGTGGCCAAACCCCCTGTTTCCTGACAGAAACATAAAATAACGAAGCAAGCTTCACAAGGAGAGACGCCTCAGACACCTGTATTAGCTGGTGCTTTGCAGTCACGTCAGCGTTTAACTCACTGTGTGCATCCCTGTATGGCAAAATCCACACCTGCGTTTGGGGCACTGCGCACTCTGCCAGCCTCTGCCTCGCACAAAACCCCACCATAAACAAATCCGCAAATCCCGCTGGATCAAGAAGAATTTCACGGGAATATAGAGCTGCCTGCAACAAGAGGGACACCCTTGCCACACACACCGAGGTTATCAAGGGAAACTTTCCTCAACAGGAGTCTCGCAACCAGCGTAAAAGCCTGGATTTTTGGAACAAATTATTTCAAATTCGTTTTGAAATGTTTTGCAACATGTTTTGCAGGGGATGTACCCACGTTTCATGTCCTGCAGTGCTCCTGGGGTCTGGTTCTCTCCTGGTTACCTCCAGCCCTGGTCCCATGTAATTTATGTCCTGAAAGATATGATTCAATTAGTCAATAATAAAATGAGCAAGAACACCGTGTGCATTGTAAAAATATAATTTAGTGGGAAACAAACTGAGATGCAAAAAAATATCAGGGTACACACCATATGATTACTGAAGGGGGAATGTATATTTATAGCTTTTATTGTGTCCTTTCTAAGGAGACTGGATCTGGCAGTAGGGCTGGTAACGATGCGGCATTCCAGTGATTTGGATTTGAATGGCAAATGCTGTATAAAACTAATTACCCCCAGGAGGATGAAAATACATTACATTTGCCTTTTCGGAGCATGTCTGGCCTTTTCGGAGCATGTCTGGCCTTCACGTTATTTATCTTTGAGAAGCATGTTTACTGGGAGAGGCGACATCCCGAACAGAGCAGCAGAGTCGCTCCCCAAGAAAACAAGTTTCCGCAAGTTATTTTTCTACATTTAGCTCGATTTCGGGTTTCTGGGCGGCTCTGGACTGCTGGTAACCAGCACCATGGCAGAGCAGGGCTCCCTCTTCCCACACCCTCCGGCTCGCCACATAGCGGGGATACCCGGATTGCTGCCGAACCGTCTGGTTTTCCATGTTTTTACGCGTGGAAAACGCGCAGGTCCCGCACCCATGCTGGGCCGGTGCAGGAAGGGGGAAACCTGCATTTACTGCGTTAAAACCCACGAACTTTACGGACCGAACGCCTGAGGGGAGGGGGGGGGCAGCGCGTCGCCCCTCAGGAGAGGGCGGCGGCCCCGCCCCCCCGCTCTGCATGCGCGAGGCGGGGGTGGGCGGGAGGCGGCGCGCGCCCCGCGGGGTCCGTGTGAGGGAGGGACGGAGCGAGCGAGCGGCGGAGCCCGGCCCGCGATGGAGTGAGGGAGGGAGCGCGGCCGCTCCGCCCGCCCGCCGCTCTCCCTCCGCTGCCTCCGCGCAGCCCGCCCGGTAGGGAAGGAAGGCAGGAGGAGCCCCCCCCGGGGGAGGGGCTGGCGCTGGGTGCAGCCCGGCTGCCGGGCGCGGGGAGTGGAGCGATGGCGGCGCGGAGAGCCCGGCGATTCCTCGGCTCCCTGTGCATCGCCCTTCTCTTCGCGCAGACCGCACCGACCGGCGCCGCGGCGCGGAGCGGCTCCCGGAGCCTCCTGACGGGTAAGAGCGCGGCGAGACCCCGGCGGGCGCGGAGCTGTGCGGGGGCGCGGAGGGGTCCGGGGGGCGGCGGGGCCCGGGGCGGCCCCGGCACGGCGAGCGGTGCCGAGGGGCTGAGCCCGCTCCGCTCCCCCCGTGCGGGCACCAGCAGGGGCCACTGCGAGCCTCGGGGAGCGGCGGCGGTGCCTCCCCGCGAACAAGGGACACCTGGAGCCCTGTCTGTGGGGGATTGAACGCTTCACCCACCTGTGCTCCCGGCTCGCTGGTACCGGCGAGGGGAGCCAGGCACACCTGAGGGGAATCGGGCTTGCAGCTCGCCAATGAGGGGAGCCAGGCACACCTGAGGGGAATCGGGCTTGCAGGTCACTAATGAGGGGAGAAGGGCGCACCTGAGGGGAATCGGGCTTGCAGCTCGCCAATGAGGGGAGAAGGGCGCACCTGAGGGGAATCGGGCTTGCCGCTTACCCCTGAGGGGAGCTGGGCACACCTGAGGGGAATCGGGCTTGCCGCTTACCCCTGAGGGGAGCTGGGCACGGGCGGGCTCTGCCCCCGCTCGGGAGGGCTGCTGGAAGCGGCGCGGACTCGGTACCGGCAACCTGTGGAGAGAGAGGAACTTGCCTGGGAACTGCCGCAGTAGCCCAGAAATGAGCGGTCTGGCAGCGTTTCAGCCGCGGTAGTTCTCACACCTTTTACCATTGTTGTCTTTAATGGTCCATGATTGAATCCTGGTTCTTTATAGGCTACGGAAAACGTAATCTCACCCAGGTGAGGCAGGAGAAGGCTCTCTCAAAAGCCCTTGCATGAGACCATTAATACCACAGAAGCCTCCTTAGCTTTGCAGCGATGTTATCTGCTCGTTATGCCAAATGCTGGCTTTAAAAAGTAACTTCTTTATTTCCTTCTTGCCAGCAATAAGCTAGTAGGATGCTTGAAAGAAAATCTGGTCTTGAATGCTGAGTGCTGGGATTAAAAAAAAAAATACCCCCTGTAGGTTGATTGAATCCTAGTATTTTGAGAGAGCTCTGTGCAAGTGGAATATGGAAAAAGCTGCTGGTCAAATGAGTGTTTTTTAGCAATTTGGGAAAGAATGGTTGAATTCTGACATTAAATGGTATGATTGTTCTGTTTCAAATCACATTAGGCAGGATCTTCCACGGTGGTTCTCATCTTGGACACCACTGATGGAACCATGTGAGCTGACTCCTGTTGACAGGGAGTATTTTTATTTATCCTCTTGCACAGTACAAAATTTGCAGATTCCAGATCTGAAGTAGATTTTTTTTTCTTTTGAAAAATGCAGTTTGACTCAAAAATCTGCAGAACATGTGTAACAGATAAGTTACTTGGTTATGTGTAAAATCTTGCCACGTGGTGATTCTTTTCTGATATTCCTGCTCTCCTGACAGCTCAGTGGCCTTATGATTGTGTTAGTAGCTCTTTGTTAGTTTAAAATAATCTTTTATCGTTTGAGGAAATCAGATTATTAGGTGAAGTTCTGTCTGTTGGAGCCAAATATGTGAATGAAGTCTGCAGAGTGGGGGTGATGTGCTGAAGTGATATGGAATAAAACCTTCATTGGAGCTGTTTATCAGAGCAGGAATTTGGGAGTATCATTGTGGAAATTTTGGATGTTCTCTCTCTATTGTGGAAGGTGCCTTTGTGCTGTGTCCATGGATGTGTCCTGTGGGATCCCTGGGGAGGACCAGGAGCTGGGCTTTCCCTGTCTGAAAGTGTTTTTACCAGTTACTGAGGAAAGGGAGAAAGGCTCTCTTAGTTCTTTGTCTCAATAAAGAGGATGTGTCGTGGATGAAGTTCACTTTAATTCACACTATTTCCCGTCTAATTGCTAGTAGTTTTTCTTAAATACAGGATGTTCCACATACTTTTATATGGGTAGGTGCTCATAGGAGAGTGAGTTGGGTGCAGATGTTCCATGGCATGAAAAGAACTTTCATGGTTTCTCCTACTGGAGTTTAGATGCGAGGGGGGTAGTGCTGTCTTCTGTTCCATGCTCTGGTGAAGCTTGATCTCTTCAGGATGCTGGGAAGAGCCTCCTTAGGCTGAGGAACACCAGGTGAGAGGCAGAGGAACACCAGGCAGAGCTTTGGCTGTGGGACTCACAGCTCTCCTTGTCAAGGCTGAAGTGCTGCTTGCTATGTCCACATCAAGGGGTTTTAATGCAAAAACACCCCATGGTGGCATTTTGGTGTGGGTAAAAGTGCCAGAAATGGGCAGAAGTTGCAGATTTGGAAGCCTGTATTCTTTGTATGGAGTCATGTGTGTTGGAGGGACATTTGATCCTATTTATAAATAGCTCATCATGGCTCTCTGAAGAAGAAAAGAGTGCAGCTGAATTATTTTAGGAGAAAACTGTATAACTTCATTTATTTGTGTATCTGCAAACATTAGTATGTTTTCCAGTCTAGTTGGTTGCTCTGCAGATAAGGCAAGATGAGCTGCTGATTTTAGAATTGGGACAACATTTCACTTAGATGAGGGAATAAAACAAATCAGGAAGAAGCATCAAATTAAGCTAAAGCCTGTCTCCTGTAACTGTTTGTAACTGAGTTGAGATAAGCATAAAAACTTGGATCTATACAGATTGCATTATTGGAAATAAAAATGAAGCTAGTGTCACCTAATTTTTAATAGGAGAGCTGTGATAGCCTGTATACACCATTAAGATTGCAAATGAGATTATTCAGAAGCAGGAAATTTGTTCTTTCTCTCCCTGGTATTCTTGAAGTCCTTGGAATCGATATGTATTTTGTTTTTAGAGGACAAACTGCTGGTTTGGGAAGTCCCAGTGGAGCAGAATTAGCAGTTGGTGGGCCTGGAGCTGCAGGAGGAGCCCAGAACTGAAGGGGTCTGTGTGCAGCAGGCTGGGAAGTGCATCCAGGTGCTGCTGCCAGGGATGCTCCTTCTGGGGAGTGATGGGGGGTATGGAAAGCTAAGGATGGCAGCACAGATCAGCTGGGGTCCCTAGAAACAGCAGGTTGTCATTTGTTTCTGTTTTGTATGTGCTGCTTGATTATTTCTAATTATATCCCAAGTTAAAAATAGAGCAGAAATATTCAGGTCTCGGTTACGTCCCAAGTCAGTTAAGCACGGGTCTCCCTGCTTGATATTCCTGTTCCATATGGACAGGTTGCATATGGTTTTTGCACTGCATGTTTATTAGTCATCTAAGAAAATTACTTGACTGGCTTATGAAGCTTTCCTAATAAACTAACACTTCAGTTTCAGAGTTGTCAGGTGTGTACACACCTGTGCCTAATGTTCATCACAGTGAAAAGCAGCAAACAAAAAGTGTCATAAAAAAAAAAAAAAGCTTGGCTTAGTTACCTTGTGCTAACTTATCAGTGTAAGTAAGGAAGTTACATATGGCAGATATTTCCTTATACAAATAAGAGTATTTGGTTGTTCCTGATGATAAAATGCCCTTGTGATTTACACGAGGTTAACCTTCAGCCAGAGATTGTCACAGAAGTCTAAGGACTCTGTAGGCACCTAACTGGAGTTTGTTGCATGGCCAAGAGGAGGGGAGTGATAATAAATGAGTGAGGAAATGAAGTGGGAGTTCAGGAAAACTACACAAGGAGCAGTGCAATATTCTGCTTAAGTTTTGCTTTCAAGCTATAAAAACATTTAACTTGGGCAAAATCAGCCTGAGCGTCACGGGGCGTTTGAAAGCGAATTTTGTTATCATCACCAGTTCATGGAGATAATTTGGTGTGTAAAATGTGTGCCAATGTATCCAACTTTTCTAAGCATGCAGGATGTTTAAATGCACTTTGCATTGCCTATGAGGAGGTATGACTGGAGTTGTTGCTGGTAACTAATTAGTGTTGGTTTCCCATGAGGACTCGGTGCTGGTGTTGGGGATGTCACTTGGTGGAAGGAAACTCCACTTCTGTCTAGCTGGTTTGTAGGGGTCTCAGTGGCTGCAGGGCCCAGACTGCAGCTTCCATGCTGGATCCAGAGGGGTTTCTTTACCTTCCTCCAAGGGTTGTGGACTGGGTGTTCAGCCCCTGGGAGCTCCAAAGTCTCGGTGCAGCCTTTGGGAATGGCCATGGAGGCACAGGTCTGTGTTTGCTCCTTGGTGTGCTGGGCTGAGAGGAGAGAGCTGCCCCAAACTCTGGGGTGCTGCTCGGATTGTCCTGCCAGAATACACCTCTGGGTCTCCCATATTGAAACATAATGCCTGAGGCTATTGATTTTTTAAAAAGGCAGAATAGTTCTTAATAGAGAGAATGCCTCAGCGCAGTGGAAACAGTCATATTTTACTGATTGGGTGCTATTGATTCCGTCCTCCAGTGAAATTGCCAAGATGAAAGTGGTAATCCTGATTAATTCCATATAAATAGATAAGCCTGATTTGTATGTGTACAGTTGCAGGGTTCAGTAGGAAAACTGAAAGCCTGCTTTATATGGTCTATTAGGTGCTTTAATTTCCAGAGTTTTTACCCTTTAGTCTTCTTGCAGAGGAGCATCTTAATTTTATAAAATAAGCAGACTATCAATTTATGATAAATCCTTTTTGCATCAGTTAAAATATATTTTCTCCTCATTAAAGCTGCCCTTACCAAAGGCAGTGAAAGAATTGGAATGTTCTGCTGCTAAACTTTCTTGGGATTTTGGTAATTCCCTGGAGTGTGTAACAACCACAAGCTGTTTGATTTGTGCAAAAAGAGAAGAGGTTTAATTTTAATGAAAAGTAATAAATTACTCTAAAGGATTTTTTGTTTTTTTTACATCAATACTAAACTTATCATTCCACTTGTTGCTTCTGCGTGTTTTGGGATTGAATGTATGAGTAGGAAAGAAATTACAGTTAAATCCATAAAGGTGCTGCTCAGACAGGACTGCCTACCTTGGGAGCTCAGTGGGGTCCAAACACATAAACTCAGGTATTTTTTTATGGCATCTGATTCTCATTGCCAGCCTCTGGACTTTCCTGGTTCAGCTTTCCGTTTGCTGTTGTGATATGACCAAGACTGAAT